TATTTCTTTTTTATAAATAAAGTTTTAATCCACCCCAGCCACGCCCATCTGCTTCCAGCACAGCGACGGCAGGTTTTCAGAGGTCCGAGACCACACAGCTCTCAAAGCCTAAAAGATTTACTCTCTGGCATTTTAAGAAACTTTGCTGATTCTTGGCCTAAATCACATGTAACTGCTCCGTGAGTGTTAACATTTTCTTGCTGGCTCTTGCTCCTCTCACAAGCTTAAGGGCTCGGACCTCTTTCCCGACATTCCCTTCAGCTTCTGCTGGAAGAGGGCGGAAGGCCTCCACCTGACTTCGCTCTCAGCTGCATCCTTCAAGGTTTCCACCTATCGCTACGCCTTCCTGTGCCAGCGGCTCTCAGCTGTGCTGGGCCCTCTGTCCATTAGGAGACAGAATCGCTGTAGATAGCCAGAAAATGTGGATCAGTAGGGCCTGTCACCATTTCTTAGAATTTTAAAACTTAAAAGTGGCCAGGCAGTGGTGGCGCACGCCTTTAATCCCAGCACTCTGGAGGCAGAGGCAGGCGGATCTCTGAGTTCGAGGCCAGCCTGGGCTACAGAGTGAGTTCCAGGACAGGCACCAAAACTACACAGAGAAACCCTGTCTTGAAAAACCAAACCAAAACAAAAAAGTGTATATGAGAACCTTTAAAGCAACTGGCCCTCAAGTGTTCCTTTTCTCACCTACACCCCCACAACGCTGCGAGAGAAGAGAAAGGAAAAAAAGGAAAAGCTAGCTACCCAGGAAGCTCACTGTGTAGGGGAGGCAGCCCGAACTTAGAGAATTAGTTTCATCCCCTCAAAAGAGAAACGGCAGAACGCCATTCATGGGACGGCATCCGGGTGAGACGTCTGTGTGACTTAACAGGCTTTAAACACCTCTAAAGATCCGTGTGGAGGCACACACCTGGAAGTCCCAGCAGGAAGCTGAGGCAAGGGGATCACCTTGAGTTCGTGGCCAGCCAGGCCAGCCAGTCAGAGTGAGATCGTGTCCTGTCCCATCATGTGTGTGTGTATGTTTATACGTGGCTGAAATAAACTGTAACTGTTAAACTGTGAACGCTCTGAGCCCAACATCTCAATTCTAAATAGCAGGTGACTGAGAACCAGCTCCATGGCAAGTGTGGTCCCCCCACCCCAAAACCACGTCAAGTAGCAGGGGAGGGTCCACAAAGCTGTGGTACTCTGACCCCCATAGGCATGCTGTGGCATACACCCACACCAATTAAAAAAAATAGCGGATGACCAAATGATTAAGCCACAAGTACCAAATTCCAGCTTGTCTTGATTATTGGCCACTGCGTGGATCAGCCCAATGGTACCGCAGGAGTTGCCGATGGTCTGCTTCATGAAGTACACTTTAGGGCTAACCTCCTGTCCCTTCAGTTCCTCAATTTGCTTTTTCCTGAAGTTCTCATGCTGTGAATGGAGGGAAAAGGTGGTTTGGGTTTTTTCCTTTTTTCATCTCAAAATGCAAATGCATATGGCAGCCCAACCAGTTCTAAAGAGATGCACAGTGGGACACGTGACCAGGAGCAGGGGCCACGGTTCTAGATGCTGTGCCGGATGACCAGAGACCAGCCTGTCTCCCTCCCACACCCAAGCAGGCCAGAGGGCTCCACCCTGATGCTGCAGTGCAGGCAACAGCCTTGGATGCTGCCCAAGGCTGTCTAGACACCACGGCAACCTTTAGCTGGCGATGGGGTAGCATGAAACCCGGGAAGAGCGCTGCTCAGGGTTTTCTCCCTTCCACAAGAACAATGGCTGTACTTCATACAGGTGTCCCAATCAACCTTTGATCAACACTCAGTGGTAATGCCAGCTGGTGTCTGTGTCTCTATTCTGTAACTGTTCCATTTGTGCGAGAGTCGACGTCTTTAAACAAGCTTTAACCGTTGAAAGGGACAAGAACTTCCTTTCCTGTTTGTTTTGTTTTAGAAAGACATTGATACAAGAAACGGACTATGATTTCAAAAAACAAACAAACAAACAAAACTAAAAACCTTTTCACCTTGTAAGAGGAAGTCAAGGCACAATACAGCAGTCTAACCAGAGGACAGTAGCAACTGTCTGGAGAGACTCTGCTGTGTGAACAGGATTTCCCCAAGTCATTGCCCGCTTCTTGAACAATGACTCAGGAGACTGCGTATTCCTCTCACTAGTGAGTTCGGAAGAAGTTAGGACTTGCCAGTTAAAAGAGGTGCTACCGCTCTGGAACCGCCTACGGCCCACGGCCAGCAGAACACACAGCACATCAGCCAGCATGGCTCCGATTCTAGTAGCCTTGCGTTGACTGTTCATGGAAGTCAGAATGAAGTGTGCGTTTACTCTGTGGCTCTAGAACGGGAGAAAGATGGTCTGTCCCACAAGATGAGCTGAAACTCCACTCAGGATGTTCTGGCATCCCATTTACTGTTAAGGGTTTTCACACCTCTTAAGGCTAATCGGCTACAACTGTACAACAGACTAGCCACCCTCTAGTTATCTGGGCTCTTGCATGGAGAGACTTCTCTAACAATCTCACTGCCACAAAAATCAATGAAGATGTCCATGAAGGGTTTTTCAACATAACCTGAGTCAGGACTGATGTTTCCTAAATTAGCTGGTGGATGGAAGTCAAACCAAGTTTCATTTTCCGTTAAAATTTTTTCAGTGTTTTACCCATTATATATGGAGACTAGGTACCCAATCTATGGGGCAGACTGGGCTGCTGCTGAAGGGCAAAACAGCAGCCAGACAAGCTGGAATGTTCTCTAAAAAGATCCACTGGAGCTTGCAAAATGAGACCAGGGAGCAGTTGAAAGCAAACAGGCTGCTGCACTGCCTCCCAGAGGCCTTGCCTGAGCGCTGCTCAAAACCTCCAAGTCATCATGGCTCCCGGAAAGAACAGCTCCAGGGACAGCTCAAGTGGAGGAGATGGCTTTGGTGCAGTCATGGAAGCCAACCTGACATGCCGTGGTTGCAATAAAAGCTTCGGCTATAAAACATGTCACTGAGATCTTCTAAACTACACGTTGAACTCCTAATAGACCATTTGCTAGGAGGAAGGCCTAGACCTTCCCATAGAGCTTAGTTTTGGCCGAGGATGGTTCTAGAACACCTGCCCTTAGAATGGTATTTAATTAACCTCATCATTTAATTAACATTTAGAGTAATGCCAGACATGCTAATGCCTCCCAGTTTTGCCTATTCCATCCCCTCCTAAATGTGTGGGCCACTGATAGCAACAGGGGACAGATGATGCCATGATTTATGGGGACTCTACACACTGCAAGAAAACACATAGACTACTGCATTGTTTTTATAGCTGATGCCCAGTCTCTTGAGTCACATGCATCCCCAAACACTGGAAAATGGAAGACCGTTTCAGAAAATGAAAGCGTGTTTCCATGGACTGTGCTAAAGACCCACTTCATCCAGCTACAAGGTCAGGGAGGTAGAGGCAGCTGCTGAAGAGATTCTGTCGCCAATGATTCAGCTTTAAAAATCAGGTTCAAGAGTGTGCCTGCTGGGGAGGGGGTGTGTGTGTGTGGAGAGAAGAGACCCGAATCCACCAGAAAAGCAGGTGGAGGTGGTAAATGAAGAGTACCTTTTGATTTAAAAACCTTTTGAAGAGGGCAAGCCAAGCCCTCTTCAATGTACAGCTAGGTGGGAGTCTGAGAGAACCAATCAGTGACCTTACAAGGAAACCACAGCCATCCCCAAGTGGAAGCAAAGCTCAGAAAAATAAAGGAACCAAGCGAGTAGGAGTTCTTTCTCTGGGTAACTGGAAAAACAGACGGGACCAGTAGGCTCCTTCTCTTGCAAATTTAAGGCAAACAGCCAATAATGGCCATTACAACGACGGGAGCGCCAATGAATAGGTACCACGAAAATGCAGGCACCTCCCATTCTAGGAGGTGGAATCCTCATTCCCTACTCTACAGGAGGGAAAGACAGCGTGGGTTAAGAGCGCATCCCTGAGCACTGTGCATCCATCATCCGAGACCCGCCCATCACGGACCTCACCCTACCTGGGCCGTGAGGGGAAACAGCAGCAGCAGCGCGCAGGCAGGGGATGGCACGGAGCCCAGAGTCTCCTCCTCCAGCCCCAGGACGTCCGCGAAGCGCCACTGGCCGGCGACCCCCAGCCTGGCCAACACCTGCAGAGATGAGACAGGGCAGCCAGACCGAAGAAAGGGCCAGACGAGTGATGGGTCCCTTGCTAGGGGGCGGGGTCAGCACGCGCATCCCTCCCCCGCACCCCGCTCCCCTCCCCCACCCCGCCACAGGTTCCCCACCCGAGTCTGGGAGGAGTCTCCGCGGCGTCCCACCCTCCGCGCCGCGCAGTGACACAGCACAAAGCTCGGCCCACACGTGGCTCCCGCGAAGCCCTCGGACTTGAGTCCCCGCCGCTTGGCAGTCGCCACGCCCTCGAGAGCTGTTCCCCCGCGCTCGCTCCTGTTCCTGTCCGGGTGCGTCCTCCACCACCTCCCTGTGATCGCTCTCTCAGTCACCCACCCACCCCCACCCCTAAATAACTCAGGGCCGAAAAGACATCCAGCAGGGCGCCCCAGCCCGGCCATCTCCATTGCGCAGGGCGCGGCCGGCTGGGCGTCTCCGACGATGCTCCCAGGGGAGAGGGACAGAGGCTGCGCACCATGCCACTCACTTTGTTCAGCATCTGAAAGGCAAATGCAAAAAAAGGGGGAAAAGATAATAAAGCGAGCTGGTTCGGCTATCTGGCCGGAGCTAAAGGCCGGCGCTGCGTTCCCATGGCGGCCCAGCAGCTGCGCTTACCTCGGGATTAATCTCCATCGGCTTCAGCTGCATCTTGGCGGACCACAGGAGCAACCACCACCCCAAGGAGCCGAAAAAACAGCCGGCGGAACCGCCCAGGCTGCACCTATAAAGCGATGGCCCGACGCACTGGGGAAGCTTGAGCAGGGGAGTCAGGGGCCGAACCAAGGCGAGGAAGACGGCCAAGCGGCCTCGAACCCCCCCATGCGCCGCACAGAGTGGTACAGCCGAGCCCCCAAACCCTGCAGCCTCACTCGCCGGTGAGATAATCTGTGGTTGTGGAGATGGTTTTTGTTGGTGGGTGTTACTTGAGCGCATGGAGCAGCCTTTCTGATGGAGCTTTTAATTCGGGGCGAAATTTCTGGAAACCCATCCTCTACCGTCTCAATCACTCCAAAGTTCGAGGGTCTCTGAAGCGTTGAGAAAAAGCACAAAATCAACAGGTATATATTAAATATATAGATATTTAATATGAATATAAATATTTGTCCGTCCCCTCCCATCTCGGAACAGTTTGTACTTAACCTCAGACAATTTGTCCTCCATGTTAAGTCGAACCTGTGCCCAGGCTCATTTTTTTTTTTTTTAATTTGGACTGCCTAGAATAAAACATCTGATCTGTAGCCGATAGTGCATTAGTGAGGCTGATGTAATGTGACTCCTGGGGAAGAACCGGTGGGGTCGTGGGGAAGCGGTACAAGCAGGGACGGGTAATACAAGACACCCAGAATACAGACGGTGGAACACTTTAGAAGAGATCAAAGAAAAGATGGGTGATTTTGAGACAAGAGGCTTAAAGGGAAAAGCTTTTTTTAAAAAAAAAAATTTATTGTTTTTTAATGGGAAAGGCCTTTTTCAAAGATCAGAGGCTTGGGATAACAAGATTCTGGTCCACAATGCTTTCAGCAAAGAAGAAAGGATGTTGCAAATAAGGGAACCATGGTTCTGTAATGATCTGTAATGTGGGATGTGTTCTTTCCAATAGGCACATCCAAGAGATGGAAGGAAAAAGCTTATGCTGAAGGAGGGACCAGATTTGCATCAATTGTCAGGAGAGCTAAACCCCAGAATGAGGTGGCTGAGGACGCATCAGAACAAATGCTCAGAGAGCGGACATGCTGTTTCAGAGGCTGAGGTCAGCAGGGGCTGCACAGGATGCTGGGAACCAGCATGGTTTTTACAGTGCTGTCTCCCTGGTTGGATCCTTTACTCGGGCCATCTTATTTCATCCCGAGAGGGTCCCACGAAGCTACTGCCTTAGTGAAATTTTATAAATCAGGATCCGGGGCTTAGAAATGTTAATTTGCTTGGTGCCACAGTTGGAAAGACAGGCAGGCAGGCAAACAAGCCTGGAGAACAGGGCCGGAAGGGCCCATTCTCTCTGAGGGTTCAGCAATGTGCTACTTCGATTTTCTTCCCATTTTCGCTATCAGAAAAAAAAAATGACCTTCACGTACCAAGCGAGAGGCAAGAAGACATTAGTCAGGTCCTAATGAGTGAATGTTATGCTATGTAAATTACATCTCAACGAAGTTGCTAAATAAAAGAGATTCAAGACAGGTGAACATAATCCAAAACATCTGGTACACTGGCTGCGGTTTTTGTCTTTTGACAGAGACAAACGACATTTCCAGCTCTCATTATTCCTTCATTCCACACATATTGCTGAAGCACTAACCACTGCTGGTCCCCGAGCTTGTGGACGCTAAGGTGAATCCAGAACCAAACACAGAAACTTCCTCCGGCAGCTCTTATCAATAATATAGTGCGGAAGGAACACCTAACTCAGTGGAGGGAATTAAAAAGATGTGGCAGGAAGTTGCATTTAAGCTAAGGCTGATGGATAGGCAGAAGTCAACAGTGGACAGTTATTGCCAAAATAGCTGGTTAGAGCGCTGTGACATCATGACCCAGAAGTGTCTATGGGAGGTACTCAGTTATTCACTCAACACACAAATGTGTGTGTGTGTGTGTGTGTGTGTGTGTGCACATATGTATGGTCTATCAGATGCCAAGGAAGCCCGGGGGAACAATAAAAACTCTTTACTTCTAAGGAGAGCAGACACAGATCTATCTTGTCCTCATCTTTAAAAATGGGAGATGAGCAATTGGCAATGCTGAAATCTCAGGGCAAGATGTTTTATACGCTCTCAGCCAGATTCTAGGACTCACGGCTTGTATCTTGTAGAAAAGAATAGGACGATGAGTGTAGAATGGGCTTTGCGGACTGACGCTTAGCTTCTCCTTTGGCAGTGTGGCTGGCTGGCTAGGCAGACTGAGGTGGAGGGGGTTTTACAGTTCTGTACTGTTTTTGTTTTTTTTTTTAAGAGCAGAGTTAGAGAGGACACATCTGCGACTTGAGTCTCAAACATCCAGATGTCAGAATTACTTAGAAAAATAAGCCTGAAATAAAAAGTTGGGGCTGATAGGGAGCCCAGGATGGTCGCACAGCTTTGTGAGTGTATTAACGAACATACCAAGGATGTGCATGAAGCTCTACAAGGCCATTATAGTGCTGTTGATCTGCATAGGAATTCTCTCTCCCCTGCAATTCTACAGTTACAAAATTGTGAATCATGGAAAATGTCAACTGAAAACAAATCACAACATTTTGATTATAACTATTGAAAGTTAAATACATGAGTTGAGTGTGGTAATGCTAGTACTTGTGAGGCTGAGCAGGAGCATGAAAAATGTAAGGCGAGCCTGGCTGCATAGGAAGTTCAAAGCCAGCCTGAGACACTTACTTAGCAAGATCCTGTTGCATACCCATACCATAAGTTAAATTTAATACATAAAAGTCATAAGGAAAAACAGTTTTTGAAAAAGCAATTAAACATGAATTCATGGGTATAGTACCTGACTTTCTGAATAGTATGTGAGAAAAAGTAAAAAGCAAACAATTTTTAAGACAGGGTCTCGCTGTGTAGCTCTGGTTGGCCTGAAACACACTATGTAGAGCAGGCTGGCCTTGAACTTACAAGATCCACCTGCCTCTGCCTTCCAAGTGCTGGGATTAAAGACAGGTGGCACCATGCCCAGCTTCAGATATTTTAAGCATCATAATTTGAACGTAAAGCTAATTCGGTCTTTGTCTCTAGCAGAAGCAAGAAGTTCAGTTTAATTTCAATCATAGTGAGTTCCCAGCACATGGCCTTCAGAAGGTTTTTCAGTCCCCTGGTGGGGGTGTGGGGGTTGTGGGGGGGAATGCTATGATTGATTAATGATGTCTGCTGTGCTACCTAGGTTTATGTCAACTTGACACAAGCTAGCTAACTGGAAAAGGGGGAGCCTCAGTTGAGAAAGTGCCTCCGTAAGACCTGGCCGTAGGCAAGGCTGTGGGACATTTTCTTATTAGTGATTGATGCAGGAGGGCCCAGTCCATTGTGGGGTGGTGCCATCCCTGGGCTGGTGGTCCTGGGGTTCTGTAAGAAAGCAGGCTGAGCAAGCCATGGGAAGCAAGCCAGTAAGCAGCACCCCTCCATGGCCTCCACATCAGCTCCTGCCTCCTGGTTCCTGCCCTGCTTGAGTTCCTGTCCTGACTTCCTTCAGTGATGAACAGTGATATGGCAGCATAAACCAGATATTTCCTCCCCAAGTTGCTATGGTCATGTTTCATCACAGCAATAGTAACCCTAATAAGGTTATCTGCCAAAAGCATAAGACAACAAATATTTGCTATCATTTGACTAGATTAATGTTATATTCATGATCTGTTTCATAAGGGAAGGAAATTCCACCAACTGAGTTGACCAGCTTATAACTGTTATAGGTATTAGTACCCAACATATAATAAACACTCAATAAAAACTTCCCAGCTGAAGGAGTTGGAGAGATGGCTCAGCGGTTAAGAGCACTGGCTGCTCTTCCAGAGGCCCTGAGTTCAGTTCCCAGCAACCACATGATGGCTCACAACCACTTATAGTGAGATCTGATGCCCTCTTCTGGTATAAAGGCGTACATGCAGATAGAGTACTCATATACATGAAATAAATAAATAAAACTAAAAAAAAAAAAACCCTTAAAAAGTTATTTTAAAAATGGGTTGGAGAGATGGCTCAGAGGTTAAGAATACTGACTGCCTTTCCAGAGGTCCTGAGTTCAATTCCCAGCAACCACATGGTGGCTCACAACTATCTTTAACGAGATCTGGTGCCCTCTTCTGGTATGTAGGCAGAACACTGTATATGTAATAAATAAATACATCTTAAAAAAAAAATTCCCTCATGAAAACTGTGAAGATTCCCCTTCGAGGGAGACCTTGAAAGGGCTTCAGTACTTTCTGCTCTTGCAGAAAACCAGAGTTCAGTTCCCAGCATCACATCGGAAGCCCACAACCACCTACAGCTCCAGGGCACCCAATGCTTTCTTCTGGCCTCCATGGGCATGCGAGTGCGTGAGTGTGTTTTAAAAAAGAGAAAGAGACCTTGAGATCTTACTGAGAGAGAAAGCCAAAACAGTGGGCAAAATGGTTGCCAACATAGAGAGTATATGATGCAGAGATCAAAGAAGTTTGGTTTTGTTGTACAGAGGAAAGGAATTATATGATTCCTATGTGGAGAGAATAATCTTTCAGTTGATTAAGAAGCCAAATGTGCCGGGCGGTGGTGGCGCACGCCTTTAATCCCAGCACTCGGGAGGCAGAGCCAGGCGGATCTCTGTGAGTTCGAGGCCAGCCTGGGCTACCAAGTGAGTTCCAGGAAAAGGCGCAAAGCTACACAGAGAAACCCTGTCTCGAAAAACCAAAAAAAAAAAAAAAAAAAAAAAAAGAAGCCAAATGTGATGGGGATTTAATGAAAGGTATTTTGTTCTCAGTTGTAACAATCTTTAACAACGTATTGGGACCCAGCGGACATATAAGATCCACCCGTGTGAGACTATAGCAGCTCTTTCTAGTGGAGTTTCACGTGTGCGGCGTCACCGTGGTCCAATGCTAAAATAGTTTCTTTGTTGCAAAAGTTATCCCATTTTTTGAAATTAATTTCCTTCCCCTGTCAGCCTGCCACTGATGTATTCTGGCTCTGTAGATGGTTCATATACACGGAACCCATGCAATATATAATCTTTACTGTGGAGCTTTTTTTATCTAGCCTGTTTCTGAGGTTGGTTTGTTAGTATACCCCAGAAGTCAATTCTTTTTTTATTGCTGACACGTGTTCCATTCTATAGACGCATATCTTATTTCCCATTCACTGTAGGATGGATGCTTGCTTTGCTTCCGGGTTTGGGTTACCCTGATGCACATTTTTGTGAAATTTGAACATTTATCTATAAATCATTATGTGGGCAATTATTTTCATCCCTCACTCACTTCTAGAAGTGGAAATGTTAGATTGGATAGGAACTGTTTAACTTTTTAAATGTTTATTTTATTTTAAAGTTTATATTATTTGTAACCTTTTAATACATGACAAGCTGGATTTGGCATGGCATGCCTGTGGTACTAGGACTTGGGATGCTGAGACAGGAAGATGATGAGTTCAGGGCTACCCTGAGCTGCATAGTGACTGCCAGATTGTTTTCCCAAGTGCCCATACTATTTTATATCTCTACCTCCTGTTGTCGAACTTGACTACGACCTTATGACACATCTAAAATGGAACCTCTCTGTTACTCTGTAAAAATGGAACCTCTCTGTTACTCTGTTCGCAGTTCCCCGATGACTAAGAGGTGGCTTCCCTTCATGCTGTTTCCTAGTTGCTTAAGAATCTTCTTTGGTGAAATGTCTACTCAAATCCATGCCCCTTTTTTAAATAAGCTTTTAAAAGATCTTCTTATTGCTTTGTAAAGGCTCTTTATATATTCTGGATACTGTTTACATCAGACCTACTAAGACTTGCAAATATTTTCTTCTGGCCTGTGAATTTATTTTAACTGCCCATGCACTAATTTTTAAGAGTTCACTTTGATGAGGTCCACATTCGTTTATGGGTCATCTAAGAAATCTTTGCCTAATCCAAGGTGACAGGAATTTCCCCAAGCATTTTCTTTTTTTTTCTTTTTAGGATTTATTTATTATGTATACAGTGAGTGTTCTGCCTGCATGGCAGAAGAGGGCACCAGATCTCATTACAGATGGTTGTGAGCCACCATGTGGTTGCTGGGAATTGAACTCAGAACCTCTGGAAGAGCAGC